TCCAAACACATAAAAATTACTCCATCTTCATCATCATTTATCATATTTGGAGCTCAAGAACACATCTTCCATTTTGTAAGATTTTTATTATTGTAATAAATATTTATTTGTTTAAGCTTCAAACTATGAACTTCTAAATTCCATTGGGGTTAGAAGTTGGTTTAATTAATTGTCCATCTTAATGTTTTGAATATTTTTAACATGGATTGTTGATTTTATTTTTACTTAGATGTTGTATTTAAAAATAAATAAATTTGAAATGTTTGTGATTTTTAATTAAGGGCCCAATCATAAACATAATTGTTAAAAGGAATATGAGCTAAAATTGAAATAATCATAAAATAGAACACTTTTTAATTACACCGTATGTTTTCTCTACCTTTAACCGGGATTGAAGATTTTCGGGTGGACATAATTATTGAGTTGTATTTTTACACCATTAAATTGGGTAAACATACAATAAAATAATTATGGTTGCCGCTGTTATTAAATAATTACTCCGGATTTATCATTAGCGTATTAAATTCGGAGTGGTTATTATTTTGGGTGAACTGCGAGAGCGTCCCTAAATACTTTTCTGCAACCCCACACACTCTATATAAAAATAAATTGACAATCCAACTTTTATAAAAACATTGGACAATTAATTTACCAATTTCTACCCCTAACTTTTTATCATCAAAAACTTTGTGTTGTTTGGAACTCTCTTCTTTTATACTTTTTATTTTATCTTTAAAACCAAAAAGACCAAAATAATTTACAACTTCTTTTGTAAACTTTTGTTTAAATTAAATTAACTCACGTCTGCCTGAGGTTCGACACCCTACTTACAAGGGATTCTTTTTAGTTGTTATTTTTGCCCGTTCTATACTGCAAATCAATACAGATGCACTTATAGTCACATAGGGCATGTTCCCATATTTTTATTGTCGTTTTTGATTCTATAATTTGAGATATGTATAATCTCAATTTACCAAATTTCTATAATCAATCTTTGGGTGCAACAAATCAATAATTACTTATGTATAGAGTGCCTTTTATTCTTTTGTATCCCTTTTCATCATCATTGACATTGTTCATCACTTACTCCCTCTTCCAATAGGAAAAAAACTATGATACGAATTGATATAAGCATAAATTAGAACCCCAAGTTATAAAGTTAATTAAAATCTTAAATGTAGTATGTTTTAATTCAAGAGCCAAATAATTCAATTTATAAAATATGCACTATAATTTTTTTAAAAAAATCATCAAAATATTTAGCATGTTATATATATAATTCTGGGTTGTGCACAGTATGCACTACAAATTTCTTATAATACAGTGATTGTTTTATATAATGCACTAAAAATGCATAATATAGAGATATTTACAGTAGAGGATTGAAGCATCATGACCAGCAAACAGTGCATTACAAATTGAGATGACATTCAACATTATCAATTTCATGCTATATGAAATAAGATTTTTTTGGAACCTTCAAAGATGCAAAATATTTTCATGAATAAAAGATTAATAAATTCATGAGTATTTAATTAATAAAGGCTAAAATGAATCTCCAATATTAATCTCTAATAATTAATTTCAGAATTTTTTAATTAACAAGAGTCATAATGCAAAGCTTTTTAATGAACATAATATTCTGTTTTTTAAAAAATGAAGAACAAAATATTAATCCAATACGGAATATGATTTTCTTAAAAATTCAAGATTTTTTAGAACCTTCATGGAGATTTGCTCGGCTCAGCTGAACTATTGGGAGGACACGTATAATGGACTATTCAAAATGATATTACCTTCATGCCCTTGGTTAACAACTTAATCCTAATTTAATGCACTATCATTATGGCTTTCCTTTTTAAAATCAATTTTGGAAATGCAATCTGCAACCAGCCGTGTCCCTCCGATGCTTTGAATCCAACCATTCTATTTCATTCTTATTTCTTTCACCAAGCACATTTCTCACCGGAACCAACCCCTATACACACACACACACATACATGTAGGTATGTATGTCGCCTAGGCGTGCGCCTAGTCGCCCAGGCGATATGAAGGTGCATTGGCGCCTCGCCTCGCCTTGCCGCCTTACAAACTATGGCGCTCAGTTGAAATGGCTGTGAAGGAGGCTCTATTGGCAAGGGGAGAATCCCAATTCACAGATCAAGAATTCCCCCCTAGTGACCGCTCATTATTTCCAGATAACCCTCCTTCTAAACTGCAGGTGAGTTGCACTGGCAACAGTTTGGAATGGATTTTTTGGGCATGATTTCCATTTTCTGGAGCATGGCATATCTGTACAAACCTACTTTGGCAGAAGTCACAATGAATTTTGTTTGAAGGTTGTTGCTGCATGGATGAGGCCCATTGAAATAGTTGAAGAGAATCAGCTTGTTTCTGGTCCGTGCCTGTTTTCTGGAGCAGCAAATTCTTCAGATGTTTGCCAGGTTTTGCCAATAAAATAATATAATTATGCTGTATTGCTATATAAAACTTGTGATCTTATCTATTTCCGAAGTCTTTCTTTGGACTTTCCCCTACAATTTCCTTTCCATGGAGACAAATCGCTTGTGTGTTTGTGTGTGTATATTACCATATTAATGTTGCCCCTAAAACATTTCAGGGACGACTGGATGATTATTTGTTGGTTTCTGAGTGCAGTTGCTATTTTAACTGAGGTTTCACAAATATCGGAAGTTATAATTTCACCTGAATACAATGAGGAAGGAATATACACAGTTCGTTTCTGTATCCAGGTGAGCCATCATTCATAAATGTAAAATTATTAAGAGAAGGAAAGATCTAGCTTCCTTGGAGACTAGGACTTTCCAAACATATGAAATCATTGGGGTGACATCATCGTAATGGCATCACCTAATGATTATATTTTCTTAACTTTTATGTGTAAATGACTATATATAGACATAGAGCTCACCTGATATAATTATGGAATGCAAGTGAATAAACATATACATATTTCACTTGGTGTTTCTCAGGTGATTTTCACTATTTTCTGGCCTAATTTTGGGTCAATTTCTCCATTTTACTGTATGGCATTTGAAGAACTCTTGTTTGATGACTTTTTTTTTACTTGCACACTTTTGGCTTTGTGAATTCAGGGGAAATGGGTTCCTGTGAGCAACATTTCTCTTAGTTCTCCTCTTTCTAGTTCTAGCTATCGGTGCAATTCATTATTGGGCCTCAAATAATTTCTATCTGACAAGGGTTCAGATGCTAATTGTTTGTTTTCTAGCGTTTCTTGTGGCTTTGGCGGCCTTTCTTGTTGGATGGTTTCAAGGTAATATCACTTTCTTATATATCACTCGTGATGATATGATTCACAGATCACCATAGGACTCCTCGGATAATGACCAATATCAATTTGCATGCTTCATAATGCTTGATTGGATTTTTGGTTTGTTCCAGACAAGGCTTTTGTTGGTGCATCCGTTGGTTACTTCTCATTTTTTTTCCTACTAGCTGGAAGGGCATTGTTTGTAAGTTGATCATTCTTGAAATAGTAATTTAGGGCTGAGAATGGCTTGTTATGTTGGCCCTCTCCCCCAGTGAGATGTTCTACCTATTTCTACTTGACATGTTTTCTTGCTTTAATAACTCAGTAATTATTGTCTTCTCTAGGTGCTCCTTTCACCTTTGATAGTAGTCTATTCCCCAAGGGTGTTACCTGTGTATGTGTACGATGCACATGCTGATTGTGGGAAAAACGTCAGGTTTTGTTGAGCTCTTCTATGTATGCTGAAGTGTTGGAGTTCTCTCATTTTTTAATGAATTTTTATCATGTTATCCAAAAAATTCATGTTCTTATCATCATTTTTCCTTGGAATATATAAGTACTTGACAAATTGTTTTACTTTCTATCCTCAGTGGTGCATTTCTTTTGCTTTATGGCGTTGCATTAGCTATTGAATGATGGGGTGTAGTTGCAAGTTTGAAAATCTATCCCCCTTTCGCTGGAGCTGCTGTTTCAGCAATTACCCTTGTCGTAGCTTTTGGATTCGCTGTCTCTCGCCCTTGTTTGACTCTCGAGGTATTTCCAATCATGGTATTTGCTTTATCAGCAATTTCTCTTGATGTCTTGATCATAATATTCTATTGTGTCAGTAGGTTCAGTCTTAGGTATGGACTTAAAAAGCCGGTCCGGTCCAGTGGTGCCAAGGTTTTCAGTACGGTCATGTCTGGTCAAGGTTTTCAGTCCGGTCGTCGGTCTATGGGAGTTTCGGTCTGGTCCCGGTCTGGTCTTGCACCAATGCACACCCCTAAATAAAATTGTGTCAGATTTTTAAATAGGGATATCTTTTAAATTTACTGCCTGTTCCTAACCTAAAACCATGTTTCATATTCAGACCAGAAACGCTTTATCTGGAACTTACTCTGCTGCACAAAGGTCTGCCAGCTCAGCTGCTCTTTTGGTTGGGGATCCTGCTGTAATTTGAGATAAAGGAGGGAATTTTGTACTTCCTAGGGCTGATGATATATCTCAAACTAGGGGTCTTAACAGAGTTGTGGTTTTTTCGGAGAGGAAATGTGATAATATGTTGAAGGCAAGCAAGAGGCGAAATGAATGGAGTGTGAAAGTGTTCTTTTTAATGGTTTTTAATATGAGAAAAGAAAGGAGGATCAGGAGAGAAATGGTGGGATTAGAAATGGCTAGAAATAAGTGTTGGATAAACCAAGTTGGTGTTAAGAGATATTACACACTCTTCTCGTAACTTGGGGTTGAATCTAGAAGATATAACACACTTATTTAAATAACTAGAACCTCAAACTCACACTTAAGGTAACTACCCTTAAGATATAGAATTAGGGGTTTAAAATAGCAAACACATAAGTGTATTACTAATGGAAATTTAAGATTCAAAAGTGAGTTACAACAATGGCCAATGGCCGATATAAATAAGCAAGCAAGAAAGGGGAAACTACCAAGTTCTTTCCTTAACAAATCTTTGACAATAATAATCAAATATGGAGTCCTTTCATGGGGGATGAATCAGGGATTTTGTGGGGGTGTTGGGTGACATTAGTTTGTGGTTCTTGATGGGGAAATATTAAGGGATGTGGGCTGTATTTCTAGGCTGGGCTGGTTCGGCCATATTAGGGGGCAAAGGGTGACTGATTTGGGACTTGATTTGTCCCTATATTGATGTAAATATTTAGTGGTTGGGGAGGGACTTCATTTGGCCAGGTTGGGGAACAATGGGTAGTGAGAATGGTTGAGTTATTTGGTGTGTTGTGGCTGATTATTTGGGGAGATTATTTTCGGTCGGGGGGGATATTAAGGTGTATATAGGGTGGTTATTATGGGAGAATATAGGGTGGTTAAGTGGTCAATGGTCCTTCGTTTTATTATGTTGTTTAATTAGGTGGTTAGGGGACAAAGATGGGGCCATGGTTTGTGGAATGTTTGGGAGTGAATGAGTGTTGGTTTTTGGTGTGTTGTGTTCGGCTAGGGGTGGGAAACTGAGAGGGGTTGATTTGGTCCATGAGTTAATATGGTTTTT